GAAAGAGTATGTATGTGACGTATGAATAGTGCAAGTACAAACGAGTGCAAGCTATGCATACCAAGTCAGACTTCAAGCGTGCCTTCGAAAGGAACTCCTGGTTGACATCATCAATTCGGTCTCTACGACTCTTTAGGCCATCGCTTGTGCTATTCAAGGCAGTGGTCTACTGAGTATCACTGAAGTGTTGATTGGGTACAGGCAATAAGCTTGAAGGTGTTTGTCTGACGTGCTTTGAAATGCAAAGGACATCTATAGCTTCTCTATTCAACTCCCTGTACTAGTGTCATACGGACTCTCGGGGGTGATTGCCTTATGCGTAAGCATGCGACACTAGCGGAGTGGGTCAATTATGGTGTGCTGCACTAATGCAAAGATAGTCATACGCATAAGTGTCATACACATAAGATAGTTGTCGACGTAGTGTCAGGCTTATCGTTTATCGTCATCTACTGATTGGGCATTCCGAGTTATTCCAGGCTTCTCGAGTGTAAATACTTCTTGCTTAATCCAACGATGCTCAATCAACTATTAACGTCGTCAATTAAGTGATCACCTCTACGCAAAGGTATCCGGGTGAACTGTATGAGGGCCATGAGTCGGAAGAGAACTTACGTGCTCAAGCATATGTGTGGAGAGCACCACAACAGAATGAGTCGCTCTCAAAAGCTCCATCGCCTACCGGTCGCTGATTGAAGAAACGAAGTTGTGGATCTATTGAATAAGCAGGGAGGAATGATTGTTAACGTTGTGTCTCTCAGCTCGTGTTCTATCCGGTAGTCAAATTACAAGTTTCTAGGTCTCATGTGCCACCTACTAGCCTGTTCAGGAGATTGCGAGAGGTGTTAGAAAATTTTGCTTCTTGTGATCCAAACACTTTTGTATCTGGTTGACTTGAGTCGTAGACTGAACGTCCTCGACTTATGACGAGCAAGCTAAGATTAGATAAGACGTCCACTCTTACTGGGAACCGTTCGAATCTTTACCTCACCTTCTTTTGCTTGAGTGATTTTGTGTGGACCGTTAACCCAGTAATCATGTTTATCATTAACGTTCCACTTTTCATCCCTTCTACAAAGAAAGCAATAGAGTCTTAACGTGCTTTACCAAGACTAGGCGAGCTTGATGCTACAATCTGATCAGTTAAGGAGCGTTGGCCAAGCTGTAGCCTGGCGGTTTTCGTTTGGACGAAAATGACGTGCGTGGAACCAACTATTACGTAACTTTATCTTTCATTGTTCGGATTCATCGGCAAGAGAAGAACTTGAAAAAGGTGGCTTAAGTTTTAGCTAAGTTACTCCTCCATGGGGACTAAAAATGAAAACTAGCGTTTTATAAAATCAAGGGCTTCCACACTACGTTGATTATTGCAAGAAGGAACTATCGCTAGGGACACCTCGTGCACTATTTGAGCAACGATTGTTGCATAGCTACGATCCGGACCCCCGGAAAGGGATCCGGACTCTCCGGGGTCCGGGCTCCGGTACCGTTTTCCGGTAACCGGTCCGGATGGAGGCCCCCCAGGCCAACGGGCAAATTTTTTTTGGGTGCCCCGGGGCGTTCTTTCACGCCCTCGGCCGCCCAAAAAAAAATTGCCCATATTTTCTTGGCCCTTTCTCCACCGTCTGGAAGGGACGGAAAAGTTGGTGATTCAAGTTGTTTCGTTTTTTTTTTTTTTTCCGAATCGTGGGAGGGGCAGTTCATGGCCACCATTTTTCGAAGGCAGCGTTCTTTCCCCACGCCATTTTTCGAAGTGGTCTCCCCCGCCGTGCACGCGTGGAGCAGCGCGTGGAGCAGCCAGCTGTGCGGCAACCAGGGCGTGGAGCAGGGAGCAGCTGTGTGGCGACCAGCGCGTAGAGCAGAGTGTGCAGCAGGTGAAGCAGCTACGTCTCTCTCTCTCTCTCTCTCTGTGTGGTCGTCCTCGTCGACGTCATGTCCTTTATCGTCGTCGTCGTCGTCATGCCGTTTACCGTCGTCGTCCTCCTCTTCCTTCTCTCTCTCCCTCTCTCTCGTCGTCGTGTTCATTTTTGTTATAGTCATCCATGGTAACCCCGGACCCGGACACCGGACACTTCCGGACTGTCTTCCGGACCAATGTCTGGTCCAGTCTGGACTGTCAGATGATCCGGACATCACCGGACACCGGACAGTCCGGACCGGTCCCCGGAGTGCAAAAATGTCCAGAGCGTAAGGAAAAAAAAAAAAAAAGCGGGGGGGGGGGGGGGGGGGGGGGGGGGTGGGGGGGGGGTGTTGGCAGCCAGTTACCTGCTTTGCACTCTGTAGTTCAGGCAGCAAAGCAGACACAAGACTAAAGAAACTGAAATTTATAAAACAAAAAAAGTATGATTAACTTTGAACTTTGAACTTCCGATTTAGTAATTTAAGTTCACAACTTCATAATAGTCATATATAACTTAAAAGTTCGAACTTTGCAATTCAATTCAGAACCTCAGAGTCTTCAGACTGGCAGCACTGTCAGTGCTCTCTCTCTGTTACAGTCTGCCACTTCACACGGGCCTCCACAGGCCCGACACACCGGTTCAGGGGGACCCAGGCCGGCCTCGCCTTCCGGTAGGCCCTATTAGGCCACCGTTTGGGCCCCAGCGCCAGCAGACCCCGGTTGGCCCAAACGACATGACCGTTTGGGCCTGGCGACGCTCTTGAGGCTGCCGCCTGCCGGTCTGGGCTGAACGGCCATTTCGACGGTTCAGCCCACGGCGCAGGAGGCCGGCATTGAGGCCGACCGGCCGCCGGACGGTACTTAGGCCGGCCCAGCAGCCATTCCTGCAGGTTAGAACGAGGGAGCAGCGAGAGGCAGCGCTGCGCTATTTCGGTTGAGCGCAGCACCAGGAACGGCAGCGCTAGTTTCTGGAGGAGCGAGGAGGAGCGAGGGGACTTACCTGCGACCGTGGAGCGCCATAGCTCCCGCGACCTGCAGCAGACCTCCCTCCACATGCCACGCACCAGCTTGTTACCTGCAGGTTTGGCCTGAGGCCCTCATCCGCTTCCCACCTCTACCTCTCCTCTCCATCTCCATCTTCCTCTTCTCCATCTCCATCTTCTTCTTCTTCAGACTTCTTCTTCTTCTTCTTCAGATTGGAGACTTGATACGAGTTGGACAGAGATCAGTGTTGGACTTCGATGGTAAGAGGCTGTGATACGTACCGGATTCGAGACTTGGAGATTGTTGGGATTGATACTCAGCGGCATCACAGATTGGACACCGGTTACATTAGGACTCTGTACCACCGACATTGGTGACTTATTGTCCACGACATTTTGATCTTGTTCGATGACATTTTGGACTACCATATCGGTGACCTGCTGGATTCTATCTCGGTGACATCTGGCGCTGCCTACATCTCCCACCTCCTTCGTCTCTCCTCCCACCTTTCATCTATGCATGGATGTACGGGGCCTGAGCATCGTCTATGATTGGCTCAGACCCCACCATCTCACAATTGCTTGTGTGTTGAGTGATATCTGGATGAGGTCAGTCTATGTGAGTCAGTCCATTTATCAGACTTCCGCTGCATACATGCTCACCCTATATTGGTTGATCTTTGGTTCTGCTCATACTTGTTGAAGTACTCACTAGTATGCAACAGTTTTGGTATCGGAGCAGACCAATCAATGGATCTGCTCACAAGGTAATTCTGATTAGGGAATAGATAGCTCAATTAGCATTATTCGATTACCCAAATCAGTTCTGCATTACTATCGAGATTCGAAGTTGCAATTTTTTTCTCTCTCGGGATTCTGACTTTAACTTGGTATTCCGTTTCAATTCGGTATTCCGATTTTCAATTCGGGATTCTGTTTCAATCCGATATTCTGTTTAAATCCGTATTCTGTTTAATAGGTATTCTGTATAATCCGATATTCTGTTTTAATTCGGTATTCTGATTCTAATTCAGTATTCTGTTTAAATCGGTATCCTGTTTTAATTCGGCATTCTGATTTCAATTCGGTATTCTGTTTTAAGTCGGCATTCTGTTTTATTTCGGTATTCTGTTTTAAATCGGTATTCTGTTTTATTTCGGTATTGGAATTAGGGTTGCGATAAAATTTCGGTTTTTTGTTCAATTTGGGAAATTCACCGTAAAACCAGAAACTCCGCAAAATCGCAGAATATTAGGGTTGGAATCCAAAATTTTTGCGAATTTTTTTTTCCCCCCTAATTGTGAATTTCCGAATACGGACTTCGGCCTTCGGGAAATCAGACTTGTTAGGTTGAAATTCCTGAAATTTCACATTTTTCGGAATTTCGAGTGTTTCTCTTTCTGACTATCCGAATTTTTTTTCAGCGGCAGCCTGTTTGGAATCGTTACCTCAGAACTGCAACTTCCGGGTAGTTCACTAACAAACGGTGAACTCCCGGACCATAGGTGATCTCAACGGATACCTAATCCTGCCACAATTTAAAATTCGTTCTTAATCATTATTGCAATTATTGATTAACTTTATTGATTATTATTAAGAGACTATGAATTCGTTATTAATCATTAATTAAAATTTATTGATTATTAATTCGTTATTATTTCTTATTTCGAATTTTAAGTTGTTTTGGGGGAAAAGTTCAGCTTTTTTCTTTTGATTGGTGTCTGGTCCACATTGGGGCAGGGGACTGTATGTGAATTGCTTGATCTGTTCTACCCCTGTTCCCACCCTCCCTGCCCTCCCCGTAATCTGTGACCACCGGGACTTCTCAAGCACCACATCAGCTCGGGCTGATGTCGATGGAACAGGACACCGGGGCACTGCCACGACGCAGTGCCAGGCTCGCAGTTCGTAGCCACTCTGTGATACCTCCACGAACTAAGTATCAGCAACAGCGACTCAACAGGCGAACGACTCCAGCGGCATCGAGTACAGCAACGGCAGTACCGGTTACCACTGGGGCTCTTCCCCCATGTCCAGTCCAAAGGGACCACGAGCCGTTGTCAGATTACCTTCAGCGGGTACAGGCATTTACAGATGCCGTCGCTAAGGCCGAGCGGGAGGCATCATAGGCAGAACAACAGCGGCTTGCCAATGAGGCGGCCGCCCAAGCTCAGCGAATTGCTGAGGCAGACGTGACGGTTCGAGAGGAACACCATCAGCAAGGAGTCCTTGACTCAGAATGAGAGTCACTGGACTGCACTACTCCAAGGCATGTTGTTTGAGCCTTCGGACGAGCACGCGGAACTGACACCGGCGGAGGCAGAAAGAAGTAACCTGGCTAACCTGATGCTGACTATGATGCGGGCGGTGATGTGGAACAATACGATGTTGACAGTGCAGATACACGAGGGCAGACAGCTGAGACAGACTCAGCAGAAAGACGCTGCAGCCTTAACAGCCGCTGTTCGCGCTGCCGCCACACATCAGCAACAACAGCAACAGCTGTCGAACACCACCACCACACGCGTCAACAGCATCGAGGCTAAGGCCTCAGCAGCGCCAGGCTGCACGACAGACACGGCGAAGCAGCTCAGGGAACGCATCGACCATGTCGTCACTATTATCGGCGAATTAGGTGACTTCACTAGTCCGGCCACAATCAGCAGCATGGTGGCTGCCATCAAGACGGACATCACCAGACTGAAGTCAGGCTCGGACGCCGCTAAAAAGGCATACAAGATGCCAAGCTTCAACATCGGCAAGTTTGATGACTACAACAAGACGGACGCTTTGACATGGTGGCAGGGATTCCTCACCGAAGCATCCTGCCACAGTGTACCGCCCGAAGACATGATGAAAGCGCTCTACCTCCAACTTATTGGAGGAGCACAGGCATGGGTGAACAATACCGCAGCAAATCTGAAATGCACCATCGCCCAACTGCACACGCACATTCCGTGGAAGCAGTTTGAGCAAATGTGGTTCACTCGATTCATGGTCCGCAACGCTGTAAAGGCGGCCATGAACGACGTCTACTCCAGCTCACAAGGGAACATGCCAACTCGAGACTGGACGATCAAGTGGCAGAAGATAGTAACCACTCCAGGCTTCGACTTGAGTTTCCCAAACCAACGATCCAAATTCTTTTCATGATCGTGCGCTGGACTGCGGTCGGCACTCGGCAGCGAGTACGACTATGCCTCATTCCAGGCTTATTCTGGATTGTGCGAACCTGGTCATCCAAACGGATGACAAGGCCGATAACGAACAGCAGTCCCAGCCGCACTATGTGCCTAAGCAAGGCTACCAACGACCGGCACATAACAATGTCGTGATTCCTGACGAATCATTCGATCTCCACGCTGCAGCAGCATCCTCGAGTGATGGAGGAGTTGTCGCAGCGCTCCCGCCGAAGCGTCCCAAGAGAGTTCGGAAAAACAAGGCGACACAAGCAACGACATCGACGGGAACTGGGTAGCAACCATGGACGGCATACAACATTACCAAGGAAGTATTTGACCTTCGTCAACGTTACGGATATTGCCTATGGTGCAATAGTGTAAACCACACTACGGCACAATGCTCGGAAAAGAGCAAGGCACTCGTACCCCGTTCAGCCAACTCGGGAAACTCAGTTACGCACGGAGAGGGGTGACGCCTCTCCTCACTCCGCCGGAACCGGTTGCCTTGCTAGCAACCGATATCACTACCGGGGAGCATGCGTTAGTCGCTGATTCCCGTGCTACGTATGAGGATTATGTCGCCCAGCTGGTGCCACCATCACACCAGCCTAGCCACATGCACTTAGATAGCGTATGCGCAGCCTATACACCATCGGCAAGTGAACCGGTCAGTTCGCCACTGATTTCTGAGGACTCGACGACGTGGTCAAGACTTGAGGATCTTGACCCGCTCACGACAGAGGACTTCGCTTGGATGCCTCTACCCTCAACCGAAACCTTGCCAAGCACGCATTGTAACGCCTTGATGGCAAATCTACGCTCCTACTTGCACGCTGCAATACCAGCTCCATTGCCGAAACCGACGCGCCTTTGCTCTATATCCGCATTCAAATCAGAAAGGCAACTTGCAGTGCCTTGATTGATTGCGGAGCATCTCACAATTTCATGAGCCAAGCCTTTATGGCCCGCGCAGGCCTTGGCCCGCGGGTTCGAAGGAAGACGCAACCTACGCAAATGACACTCGCGGACGACCGCACGCAAAAGTCAATCGACCGATGCATTGACGCCGTCCCGGTATACTTCGCGCCCCTTGTGTGCGAGTCAGTGTCTTTCGACATCCTCGACACCAAGTTTGACATGATTCTAGGCATGTCTTGGTTGAGTAGCACCGATCATCCGATGAACTTTCATGACCGAACCGTTCACGTCCGTGATCGGAACAGAGTGTTAGTCCCATGTACGGTCGCGACCCCTCACATTTTACCACATGAGCGAAGAGGAACTTGAGGTGCTTCACGCACAACTCGATGACCTTCTCGACAACGGTTGGATTCGCCCTAGTTGTTCGTCATACGGTAGTTCTCTTCGTCCGAGAAGAAGAAATAGGACCTATGGTTGTGCATGGACTATTGAAAACTTGAAAGCACAAACCGTTAAGGACGTCGGCCCTCTCCCTGGATTGATGATCCCCTCGAGCGGTTGGGCGGCGCGACATACTTCTCGAAGTTGGACTTGAAGTCAGGTTACCACCACATCGAAATTCAGCCTCAAGACCGGTACAAGACCGCTTTTAAAACACGGTATGGGCATTTTGCGTGGGTCGTGATGCCATTTCGACTCACCAATGCCCCGGCAACCTTCCAAGCAGCCATGACAACGGAGTTCCGAGACTTGCTTGATCATTCCGTCCTCATCTACCTCAACGATATCTTAATCTATAGTAGGACGCTCGACGAGCACCTCGTACACCATGTGGTGTTGGATCGTTTGCGAGCAGCTAAGTACAAAGCAAACCGCGACAAGTGCGAATTCGCCAAGCAAGAGCTCGAGTACTTGGGCCATTATGTGACGCTGAAAGGCATTCGTCCCTTAACAGACAAGATCCAAGCCATCGTGGATTGGTCGGAACCCCGTTGCACCACGGACGTACGCTCTTTCATGGGGATGGCTGGATACTATCACCGCTTCGTCGAGTCTTACTCCAAAGTGGAAGCTCCTTTATCGAGACTTCAGTCCCCGAAGGTACCATTCGAGTTCGACGACGCAGCTCGTGGCGCATTCAATACATTGAAGGCGGCGATGTAAGACGCACCGGCCCTCCGTATCTACGATCCCACCCTACCCACCCAAGTGACTACGGATGTTTCCTGCTACGGTATTGGTGCGATATTGGAACAATGCCACACGGATGGTTGGCACCCGGTTGAGTACTTCTCCCAAAAAGTGTCTCCCATCAACACTCTCGACGACGCTAGGAAGAAAGAGCTACTCGCGTTCGTCACCGTTTTCAAACGGTGGCACCACTTTCTTCTCGGTCGTCGACGTTTTAGATGGAACACGAACAACAATCTGTTGACCTTCTACAAAACGCAGGACACGGTCACTAGCACGATCGGTCGATGGATATATTACATCGACCAATTCGACTTTGAGTCGTGCCACATCCCCGGTCCCGCCAATCGAGCAGCGAACACCCTCTCACGAAGGCCCGACCTTTGTGCCCTTGTGACAACGACGTTCCAACTCGATGATGATCTGCAGCAGCATTTCGTCAAAGGCCACAAGTCCGATCCGCCGTACTCTACGCCTTATAGACCTATCATCAGATCACCCGCCGGCTGGTCATTATCGTATCTCCTATGGGTTCTTACTTCTCCACACGAAAGGAAAGGACTTGTTAGTGGTGCCCTAAGATCGCATCTTACGGACTCGTCTTCTCGGCGAATTCCACGACGCGCGACTTTCGGCACACCTTGGCGTGAACCGCACATTGGCTCGCCTTTGCCAGCGTTTTCATTGGCCCGGCGTCCTTCACGACGTCACGAGGTACATTGAGTCATGCGCAGTTTGCCATCGTAACAAAGGTCGATCTACGGTCCCTTATGGCGAACTGAAACCGATGCCGATTCCTCGGGCACAACGCCTCTCCATTGCTATGGATGTTACAGGCCCGTTCCCCGCGATTGCCTCGGCCATGACGACATTCTCACGGTCGTTGACCGTTTGAGCAAGTACACTCGTTTTCTTCCATGCAAGTATCGCGCTACAGCTCCCGACCTCGCCCGACTCTTCCACACCGGCTGCATTACATGCCACTGTGTTCAGGAAGATATTGTGAGCGACAGAGACACTCGCTTCATGTCTGCCTTTTGGACTTCCCTCATGACGGAGTCCGGTTCGACTATGAAGCCGAGTTCCGCATGGCACCCGCAGACGAATAGACAGTCGGAAGGAGCGCATCAAAACCGCTCAAATGATGTTACGTACACTCATCCGTCCCGACTAGAAAGATTGGGTTGACCGGCTTCCCGACATCAAGTTCGCCTATAACACTTCCGTGCACCCAACGATCTGCATCACTCCATTCGAGTTGCATCACGGTGGAGAGAAAGCCCGAGTCTCTGTCGATCTTCTTCTACCACGGGCCGCCGACATAGACATCACTTGCTCTCCCGCTTCCGTTCGGAAGTACCGGGACTTGCTGATCAAAACCCGTGCAAACATGCAAAAGGCTCAAATCCGCACGCAGCAGCAAGCTAATCGACGTCGACTCCCATGTCCTTTCCGCGAGGGAAACCTTGTTTGGGTCCTCGTTGAGGAATTCGCGCTCGAGCAAGACGTCTCGCACAAACTCCTCCCGAAAAGGTTTGGACTATGGGAGGTAACTTCTGCAGCGGGCGACGGCCCTGCAGGTCCTTCCTTTGTGATTGCCATCCCCCCACACCTCCGCGTGCACCCGGTCTTCCATGTGTCGAAGCTGGCCATCTACACGCCACCTTTCGAGAATGAGTTCCCGGGCCGACGATCACAAGATCCGCCCTCTATGGACGAACACTAGGAAGTTGGTCGTGTCATCAGGCACCGCAAGTTTGGCAACAAGCCAAAGCAATACCAAGTCACTTTCAAGCAATGTGACCCTGATAACACTCGTTGGATCTCCCGCGTAGACTTAATACATTTGCACCACTCATCTTCTCCGCCTACGAGAACCGGAGACTTGCCATGGACAAAGTTCGTCCCTCCCGACCCACACTGGTATCGGACAAACAACTTCGCCCTCGCAGGTAGCTCAGTCTTTTAAGGGGGGGAGTGTGTTATAGTCTACGACTTCACACAGGCCTCCACAGGCCCGACACACCGGCTCAAGGGGGACCCAGGCCGGCCTCGCCAAAGGCCAGGCCTTTTTCCTTCCGGTAGGCCCTATTAGGCCACCGATTGAGCCCCAACGCCAGCAGACCCCAGTTGGCCCAAACGACATGACCGTTTGGGCTATGTCGTTTGGGCCTGGCGGCGCTCTTGAGGCTGCCGCCTGCCGGTCTGAACGACCATTTCGACGGTTCAGCCCACGGCGCAGGAGGCCAGCATTGAGGCCGACCGGCCGCCAGACGGTCCTAAGGCCAGTCCAGCGGCCATTCCTGCAGGTTGGAACGAGGAAGCAGCGAAAGGCAGCGCTGCGCTATTTCGGTTGAGCGCAGCACCAGGAACAGCAGCGCTAGTTTAGCGCACTGCATTTCAGGAGGAGCGAGGAGGAGCGAGGGGACTTATCTGCGACCGTGGAGCGCCATAGCTCCCGCGACCTGTAGCACACCTCCCTCCACATGCCAAGCCGCCAGCTTGTTACCTGCAGGTTTGGCCTGAGGCCCTCATCCACTTCCCACCTCTACCTCTCCTCTGCATCTCCATCTTCATCTTTTCCATCTCCATCTTCTTCTTCTTCAGACTTCTTTTTCTTCTTCTTCATACTTCTTCTTCTTCAGACTTCTTCTTCTTCTTCTAATTGGAGAATTGATACGAGTTGGACAGAGATCAAAGTTGGACTTCGGTGGTAAGAGGCTGTGATACTTACCGGATTCTAGACTTGGAGATTGTTGGGATTGATACTCGACGGCATCACGGATTGGACACCGGTTACATTAGGACTCTGTACCGCCAACATTGGTGACTTATTGTCCACCACATTTTGATCTCGTTCGATGACATTTTGGACTACCATATCGGTGACCTACTGGATTCTATCTCGATGACATATGGCGCTGCCTACATCTCCCACCTCCTTCGTCTCTCCTCCCACCTTTCATCTATGCATGGTTGTACGGGGCCTGAGCATCGCCTATGATTGGCTCAAACCCCACCATCTCACGATTGCTTGTGTGTTGACTGATATCTGTATAAGTTCATTCTATGTGAGTCAGCCCATTTATCAGACTTCTGGTGCATACATGCTCACCCTATATTGGTTGATCTTTGGTGCATACATGCTCACCATATATCACTAGTATGCAACTCTCTCTCTCTCTCTCTTTCTCTCTCTCTCGCCCCCCCCCGCCCTAACGGGCAGTAGCGACAGTCGCCACGTCGAAACGGCCGCTTTGAAATTGGTCGGGGCTGTGCCAAACCCGCCACCTCAAAAAACCTGCAGTGTCTTGTGTCTGGACCTCTAGGCCATGTCCAATGGGGTGAAAGGACACTTAAAGATCATCCCGTTATTTTTCGAGGCGCGGCTAGGACCCGACAAACATCCTAGGCCGCCCCTTTTTTTTTTTTGATTTTTGCCCCAGGGGCCTCCATCCAAACATGGGGACATGACACCGAACACCGGACTGTCTGGAACCGGTCCGGACGTCCGAGCGGTTACCATGTACTCATCGCCATCGTTGCCGTCCTCCTCCTCCTCCTCCTCTCTCTCTCTCTCTCTATCTCTCTCTCTGATCGTCATCGTCTTCATGTGCGTTGTCGTCGTCCTCTCTCTCTCTCTCTCTCTCTCTCTCTCTCTCTCTCTCTCTCTCTCTCGACGCCGTCATGTTCCTTACAGTCATCATCGTCGTCCTCCTCTCTCTCTCTCTCTCTGTGGTCGTCGTCTTCATGTCCGTT